GCTTGATCTCCAAAGCCACCTAGAGGATATTAATGTGAGCCCCTGGAGGCCTGTTTGCATGATAACCTCTAATACCTCCTAAGGAAATCTTTTAAAACCTTGTAGCAGAAATCCTAACTGGGGGCCAACCAACTAATCTGGCTTTCAGATCTCTGTTATTTGGCCTCGATTACATTGGCATCATATACTCTTTTTTGTTGTTGTTGTCTTAGTTTTTAATTAGTTTCTACCCTTTAAAAACCCAGAATTCCTCTCTTTTTTTTTAGAAGGCGGGAGTATCTGGTAAAATGAAAATAAGCTTCCACTTCATCTTCCAGATGTGGCATTAATTATCAAACTTCTTGTGATCTCCAGCACTTCCTGCAGCTCTGCTTATATCTCACTGGCTTCATGTTGCTTGCTTCTTAGGGCCCTGAAAAAAATGAGTGATATCCTGGTTAAAGAAGAAAGAAGGCAGAATGAAGAGTAGAAAGTATTGATCAGAGAGGAAACTTGCTCTCCAGAAGAAAGCAGCTATCTGTGAGAAATAAAAGTTCAATACAATTGTGGCGGATCAGCCAGCTTCTACGGGAGTTAAATCTCTCCCCAAAGAGGGGGAAAATTAGCAAGCAGATGAGACAGGCTATACTGTGGGATAGCTTGAATCGTTAACAAGAATAGAAAAGGCAGCCAAGAACCCAGTAAGATCTCACCAGAGCGAAAGTGTTCATCTACACTACTTTCTGCTTGGATGCTTGTGACAATGACACTAGAAACATGAGTGTATTTTGCAAATGAAATGATCTCTGATTTAGTCAGTTCCACATCAGATGTGTAGGAAGAAGGAAAGACGTGTTTGTACTCCAGACAGAAAACGACATCATGAAGGATCCAAGTGATTTCCGTGTGTAAGGGTAATCTGAGACTGCCCTCTTTGGAGTGCTTCATAATATTACTGAGTAAGTATTTTTTTACGCTTTGATTAAGTCCATGTAAATTTTAAATTCATTGAGGTTTATACAGAAACCTCAGAGATTTAAATCTGGACATTTACTCCCCTTGTTTCCTGTGTAAATTCTGGTGTAATCTAGAGACAGGTGCCTGGACTTTGTTCTCACTGACCTTTCCATCACTAAGGTTAAGCTTGGAAACTGAGCGGCTTGAACTTTGCTAAGGATTATGCCCTGTACTCTAACCCATGCCCCGCTCTGTCACCTGTGTTGAAGGTCTCGAAGTGATGCTACATCTAGGTCACTATATTTTTAATTTACTTACTTATTTTTATTAGGACTCTTTTAAGGAGTTTTCTACATGTCAAAAAGGAATTTCAACTCGAAAACTTCTAAAAATCTTCTTAATATAAATTTTGCCAACTTCTGCTACAAGAAAGATGGAGTAATGTACCTCCCCCATTTATCCCACTTGGTAAAACCAGACAGTCCTGTACTTTTTATTTGTTGTTTTAAATAGACACGTGAAATTTGTAAAAGCTAAAAAGAAGAAGGCATATCTGTTGGGTTATAGGGCTTTGGGGGAGAGCTCCTCTCTCTACCATGGCCTCCACTGACACTGTTATCGGGTACTGTCATCAAGGTGGTTCGTGAATCAAAAGCATTCCAGGTCCTTCTTGCCTCCAACAATTAGAGAGAAAAGACAAAACTGGCACCAAATGTTTATTTGGAAAGTGTCAGATGGCCCTGGAAGATTTATTGCTGAATTCTACAAGAAATTTAGAGAAGACCTCACACCACTACTCCTTAAGCTCTTTAATGAAATTGAAAAAGAAGCAATACTCCCTATTTCATTCCTGAAAGCAAGCATTACCTTGATACCAGTACTGGAGAAGGACCCAACTAAGAAAAAGAATTACAGTCTAATCTCCCTAATGAACTTAGATGCAGAAATCCTCAATAAGACACTGCCAAACAGAATGCAGCAAATCCTGAAGAGAATATACACTAAGTAGGATTCATCCCAGGAATGCAGGAATGGCTCAACATACATAAATCAATAAATGCAACACATCATATTAACAGAGCCAAGAACAACAATGCTATGATTATCTCAATACATGCAGGAAAAGCTTTTGACAAAGTCCCACACCCATTCATGATAAAAATCCTACAGAAAGTTGGAGTAGATAGTCTTTATCTCCATCTGATAAAAGCCATCTGTGACAAACCAACAGCCAACATCATACTAAACGGACAAAATGGAAATTTTTCAGTCTAAAATCAGGAAAAAAACAAGGATTCCACTGTCTCCACTCTTATTCCACATAGTCCTGAAAATTTAGCTACAGCAATTAGACAAGAGAAAGAAATAAAAGGAATAATGATAGGAAAGGAAGAAGTTAAATAATCATTATTTACAGATGACATGATTTTCTACATAGAAGATCCCAAAACTCCACTAAAAAATTGCTATATTTAATAAACAGATTCAGTAGCATAGCTAGAGACAAAGTCGACACTCGAAACTCAATAACTGTTCTGTGCACAAATAACAAGCTCACTGAGAGAAATTAGAGAAACAATACCTTTCACGATAGCATCCAAAAAAATGAAGTACTTAGGAATCAATCTAACTAAGGATGCAAAAGTCCTCTACATTGAAAACTATAGTACTCTGAAAACGGAGATTGAAGTGGATATCAGACAATGGAAAGTTACCTTTTGTTCATGCAGAGGAAGAACCAATATGATGAAAATGGCCATACCTCCAAAACTTTTACGCAGATTTAATGGAATTCCAACCAAAATTCAAATAGCATATCTTGCAGAATTAGAGAAAACATTCCTAAATTCATTTGGAATCAAAAGAGACCTAGAATAGCAAAGGAAATTCTGGGCAACAAATGCAAGGCAAGGGGCATCACAATCCCTGACTTGAAATTATAATATAAAGCTACAGTAATAAAAACAGCATGGTACTGGAAAACAAAAAAACAAAAAACAAAAAACAGATGTGAAAATCACTGGGCCAGATTAGAAGAAGCAGAAACAACTCCAGACATACCCAGCACCTTATCTTTGGTGAAGGTGCCAAACACATTCACTGGAAGAAAGACAACCTCCTTAATAAATGGTCCTGGAAAAACTGCCTCTGCACATGCTAAAGACTAAGATAGGACCCATATCTTTCACCATGTACTAAACTAAATTCAAAATGGATCAAAGATCTAAATATGAAAACAGAAACATTAAATCTGCCTCAAGATACTACACGCAAAACTCTTGAAGACATTGATGTAAGCAAAGACTTCATGAATAAAAACCCTGATCACACAGGAACTAGCACAAAGAATCAACAACTGGGATCTTATCTTATTAAAATGCTTTTGCACAGCAAGAGAAACCACCCACAGCATGAAGAGACAACCTACAATGTGGTGAAAAATATTTGCCAGATGTTCCTCAGACAAAGAATTAAAATGCAGAATGTATAAAGAACTAAAAAACAAACAAACAAACAAAAAAACCAGACCTCCCAAATTTAAATATCCAATCCAAAAATGAGCATCCAAGGGGCTGGGGATTTAGCTCAGCGGCAAAAGCGCCTGCCTGACATTCAAACAGCAAATAAATATGTGAAAAAATGTTCAACGTCACCAGTCACTTCAGAGATGCAAATCACAATAATATTGACATTCCGTCTCATCCCAGAAAGAATGGCTATCGTCAAGAAATCAACCAATAGAGCCCCGCACGCTCTGTGCAGAGAAAGCAAGTTCTCCGGGAGCTGCTGGACCCATGGGTTCGAGTCTGTGCTTGGCCCACACCGCCACAGTTCCCAGCTGAAATGCGCAGAGAAGAAGAAATCAGCCAATAACAAATGTTGGAATAGCTGTTGGCAGGAATGTAGACTGATGTGACTGCTGTGGAAATCAGTGTGGAGATTCCTCAAAAAACTACAGTTGGAGATTTCCTTTGACTGAGCTATTTCCCTTCTGAGTATCTTTAAGAAGAATTAAAAACATTGTAACCCAGCAATATATGTGCACCCACATTTATAGCAGCACAATTTATAATTGCTAGATATTGGAAATAACCCAAATGCCCATCAGCCATGGAATGGATTAAAAGATATGGTCTTTTCATACAATGCAGTACTACTCAGTCATAAAGAAGGATAAACTATAGACTTTTAGAGGTAAATGAATTCAACTCAAGACCACACTCATAAGTGAAATAAAATTGATGCACATGTGTAAACATCATAGTGTCTCCCTAGTGTGAGAAGCTGAAAGAGTAAATAAGACCCAAAATGTACAATATATATTGTATATTGAGAAGAAACTTCAAAAGCAAAGAGAAACTGGGGTGGGGAATGGAAAATTGAAGGAGAGAAAAAGCAAGAAGAAAAAATAAGATATGTATATATAAGATATACTACTAATTTGTCTTAGTTCATTGAAAAGAAGGGTTTGTGCTAATACTGTTTGGACAATTAAATGCTGATATCTGGTACTCTAACTAATTTAAACATAACAATACACAATACATTCACCATTGTTACCCTCCTATTGTTTTGAAATTTTAACTTTTTTTCTCTTTAAAAAAAAAAAAAAGAAAGTGTTGGGTGAATGCATATGGAAGAAACCAGCTCTGCAGAGCAAACTTGGCCCAAACAAAGGGAAAAAGAATGTAAAAGCAAAAATAAATGTACATGCTTTGTTTGAGAAACCTGGGGCAGGCTTCTCAGGGAACTCGCCATAGTTGCTCCCCTTGACATCTGGCCTTCCTTCATGCCACACACATCTGGTAGGGGCTTGACTTTGCCCTGGGGTCTTGTAACTGACAGGTTCTGCTCATAACCCTAGCCAGCTTTTCTACATCCTGTCTCCTATATCGATACTACATTGGAGGTGACTTAATTAAAATGGGGCAAACATGAAAGCTCTGACATCATACTAGGCCTCTGACATCACTCCTGTGGAGAGGGACGGGTGCCTTACTACTCCCTAGCAACTGGGAGTGGGAGTTCAATTTCCCATTGGTTGTCATGGATACCAGTTGGAAGAGCCGATCATCCACCAGTAAAAGTCCTAAGTCTCAGACATTACACCAGCAGAGCTTCTGGTCCCTGATTACCCTTCACAGAGTGGAAATTTATGTTGCTCCTGGAGACTTTCTTACTGTCAGTGGTCTCAGCGGGTAAGGATATACCTTGTCGGTTGGAGTCAATTAGGTATTGTCAAAAAGTTGTTTGTACTGTTAGGCTTCTCCTTTCTTGGCTCTTTTGATACATAGAACCTTTTTAGGAAGCTTTTATGTTTATGACAGTTGGCATTCTGATTTGTCAGCTTCTTCAGCTTCATGGCTGTATTTTTTGTGGGAGAAAGAATTTCAGGTTGACTAGTGTCTCCCCAAAAATCAAGTTCACTTGGAACCTCAGAGTATGTCCTTATCTGGAAATCATGTCTTTGTGGAATGTAATCAACTCAAAGTGAGTTCACGCCAGACTAAATTTGACAATAATCCAGTAGAAACCCACAGATACAGAGACAGATGTTGAAAAGGAAGCTGTTCCTATTTGCAGACAAGATCACTGTAGAAATTTCAACATCATCAACAAAATAAAAATCCTTGAACTATGAGGGCATTTAGCAAGGTTGACGGCAACAAGGTTAAAACAGAAATTACCTTCAGTGCTTCATACTAGGAATGGATATATGTACAGTAGAATTATAAGTACAATATCATTTAAAACTCAATAAATTGAACAAAATAATATAACAACATATCCACAGGTCTTATAAGTTGAAAATGACACAAAACTGATGAAAGAAATCAGAGATCTATGAAAATGAAGAGTAATACTCTGTTCAAGGATGGGAGTTTGAACATAGTAAGACTTCCAATTGTCCCAAAAGTTATTTATAGATCTACTTCAATTCATATTACAAAGCAAAACATTTTCTTTTCATATGCACACAAGATTATTCTAAAATATGTGAAACCAAAGTGACAAAAATGGCTAAAATAATTTTAAAAAACAATAAAGTTGAAGACCTGTTCTCTCCGATTGTTGGTCTTCATATAGATAATCAACGTTGTACAGTAATGGCAGAAGAATAGACAAAAAGGTGAGTGGAAAAGAATAGAGAATTTAAAAACAGACACAACATGTCCAGTGGATTATTGACAGAGCTGTAGAATCCAGTGGAGGGAAGATTCTTTTTGTCATTCTGAAGCAAATGGATGTTCATAGGCAAAAAACCAAAGAAACAAATGAACAAACTATACAAAATTAGTTCCACATGGATCGTTAACTATAGTTTAAATAAAAAGAAAGGATAACAGCTGATCTTTGAAATCTAAGGCTATATGTCAAGTTCTTCAACATGATACAAAAATGCAAGATGATGCAAAACACGAACAAAAACTCCCCAGAATGAAAAACTGGACCTCAGAAAAAATAAAACCCTTTGCTTTAGGAAAGACTCTAGAAAGCTAAAGAGACAAACTACAAAGTGGGAGAAATAATATTTTAAGTCATATATTCAACAAAAGACTAAATCTAGATTACTTACAGGGCTTAAAAATTCAACGGTAATGGAATAAAAAATAATTTAAAATTGAACAAAAGGCAGGGGGAGATATTTCATTAGAGAATATGGAAGGAAAAGCAAGTACTTGAAATTAACACCATAATCTCTTTGGAATGCTGAGGAAGATCACAAGTTGAAGTCCAGCCTAGTCCAATTAGCAAAACCTTGTCCCAAAACATAAATAAAAAGGACTTTGAAGTTTATTGCAAAGGCTCTGAGTCCATTCATCATTACTACAGAAGAAAAAAAGAAAAAAAAGAAAAATATAAACATACAACAAAAGTTTATGACTAAAGCATAAGTAAGAAAATTATAAGGAATTTATTTTTCTTATACTTAATTGTTATAAAGCAACTCTAAAGCAAAATTAATGACATATTACAAAATTTACACACAATGTGTAAAACACAAATAATATACATTTAAAATGTTTTAAAATAAAATTTTCAACTACAATGGCATAAGTGAAAAATTAGTTTAATTGTAAGTAGTTTATTCAGTACATCAAACAGTGGAGCATTATTTGTAATTAGAGATTAGATTAAAATACATATTTTAAGCCTTAGGAACACTAGTACATTTTTTAAAATTTATCAGTGCTGAGTCAGTAGTGAAGATAAATCAGAATTTTTAAAGGTTTTGATCATCTCAGGAGAAGGTGTTCATTCCCTATTATATTTATTTTTCTTTATTCACTCTTTTCAGTTTATAAGAACAATTTCTGGGAATGTCTTATCTATAAATTCTAATTTCCCTAAACTGTAAACTTCATGAGTGCTGGGAGTATATACATTTTCACATCTTATTGTATTTCAACCATCTAAATTGTATGATAGGCTCAACAAATATTTGAAGAATAAATAAATAAAATTCATCCACCTTTGCAAACAATTCTTTCTGTCCTAAATTCCCTTTTGTGTTTTCACTGCCTGGAAATGAGTTCCTAGGCTTTTGAGACACTGTTTACTACACCTCTTATTTCCTTAACTCCCCTTGCACAGAGCACTTTAGTCCTGAACACTGTTGGCTTGGCTCCCCAGTACAAAATACCGTGCACTGCTTGGGGTAAGAAGAGAGATCTACTTCCTCACGTCTCTGAGACTGGAAGTCTGCAATCGAGGTGTCAGCAGTTTTGCCTTTTTTCTGAGGCCTCCCTTCTCGGCTTGCAAATTGTTACCTTCTCTCTGTACTCTCCCACACCCTTTCCTCGGTAAAAGAGCATCGCTGGTTCTTTTTCAGATTTCCTCTTTTAAGAAGAATAGCAGTCAATTTGCATCAGGCACGCCTTAAGAGGCCAATGACCTCTTTTTATCTCAGTCACGTCTGTCAAGGCCCGACCTTTAGAGATATTCACAGTCTGATTTACCTGGGGTGATGTCTTGAATACATGGATTTCAAAGGAATGTAATTCAATCCCTAGAGATACTTTCTGTTGGCATTTAACAAAGAAATGGTGAGGGAGGGGTGATCCAATATGAATAAGAAATGATCCCTGACCTAAGGACTGCAAAATAGTTTGTTAAGATGATAAAGAGGTAATCTGTTATTTGCAGTTCAACAAAAATTTTGCACCTAAAATGAAAGGCGATATGGAAGACAGTTAGTTCATACCGTTATTCTGATTGATAAGCAACTGTAAATACAAATTCTGCTGAGTGCAAGCATATAATTTGGTGTTTCAATTTTGCTGAGAATTTTTTAGACACAGACATTGCCTCATTTTAGAAAAAAATGTTTCAGTGGCATTTATAAAATTAAGTACATAATAAATTTTTCTTGTGCTCATTTGGCATGTTTGTCCTAATTTGTAATAGCTGTGCATACAAATATACTATCTAGAAGCAGCTGAGATGTGGTCTAATTACACATTATCCATAATTGTTATGATAAAATTCGCTACAAAGAGAGTCATACAGGCAAAAGACATTTCCATATGTTCATAAGCTAAGGACTAAAGCACATGTATGGAGCTAGCATTTTCATGTATTTTGGAACACTTTGTAGCACTATTCATTTTAGTGTCAGGAAGAATAACAGTACACACACCCTGGGATCACTGGGGAGAAAAATGTCTTTCCTCTACCGACTTCAAAAGGTCTGGGCCAGGCCTGGCGGTGCACACCTGTAATCCTAGCAGCTGGAAGGCTGAGACAGGAAGATCACTGCCTATTTGAGGTCAGCCTTGGCTACATAATGAGTTCAAGATCAGCCTGGACTACATAAACCCTGTCTCAAAGAAAGAGAG